TAATTGGGCCCTGGGCAAGCATTTTATGGGGCCCCCTGACACACACTCCCTGACATGCAATCACGCTCTCCACTTCCCATGCTTGCAGTGTTGTATTTAGCACTGAGCTGTGTTTGTGTGTTTGAATGGAAACATGATTTGTATGGAGGGCCCTGGGCAAGCATTTTATGGGGCCCCCTGACACACACTCCCTGACATGCAATCACGCTCTCCACTTCCCATGCTTGCAGTGTTGTATTTAGCACTGAGCTGTGTTTGTGTGTTTGAATGGAAACATGATTTGTATGGAGTATGTTTGTGTAAATGTAGGGGTGTGTTTGTATGTGGTGTTGGTGTTTGAATGCAAGCATGCATCTATGTGTAGTTTTTTTTTTTTAATGCTGGGGTGTGTTTATATATATTTTTGGTGTTTAACACAAAGGTGTGTTTGTATAGTTGATGTGTGAATTAGGACTGTGTTTGTATGTAGTGTTGAATGTTGAATGCAGGGGTGCACTTGTGTGTAGTGTTGATGATTTAAATGATGAGATGTATTCACATGTACACATACACTGCCACACACACACTGTGATACACATACACACACACACACACACACTGAAACATGCAGATACACAGATATAAACACTGACACTCACACTAACACACATGCAGATACAGACTGACACATATACACACTAACACATACATACACACAGATACACAACCTGACACACATACAGAGACATATATACAAACATTGACACATATGGATACTCAGACACACTGATGCATATACTGACACACATGCAGATACAAAGATAAAAACCACTGACTATATAGAGATGCACACACAGATATCCACATGCAGGTACACACACTGACAACATACAGATACACAAATACATACAATGATAACATACAGATACACACACTGACACACATACAGACACACAGATACACAACCTGACACGCATGCAGATATAGATACACACAGACCACATAGAGAAACATAGAAAACATAGAATGAGATGGCAGATAAGAACCATTTGGCCCATCTAGTCTGCCCAATTTTCTAAATACTTTCATTAGTCCCTGGCCTTATCTTATAGTTAGTATAGCCTTATGCCTATCCCACGCATGCTTAAACTCATTTACTGTGTTAACCTCTTGCACTTTTCCACATTAAATGTCAGTTGCCACAACACTGACCATTTTTTTAGTTTACCTAAATAATTTGCCATTTGGCTCCTGGAACATCAACACTGTTACATATCTTAGTATCGTCAGCAAAAAGACATAACTTACCATCAAGACCTTCTGCAATATCACTAATAAAAATATTAAAGAGAATGGGTCCAAGTACAGATCCCTGAGGTACCCCACTGGTGACAAGCCCATGCTTCGAATATACTCCATTGAATACAACCCTCTATTGCCTGTCATTCAGCCACTGCCTTACCCATTTAACAATATTGGAATCCAAACTTAAAGGTTGCAGTTTATTGATAAGGCTTCTATGTGCAACAGTGTCAAAAGCCTTACTGAAATCTAGGTAAGCAATGTCTACTGCACAACCCTGATCTATTATTTTAGTTACCCAATCAAATCAAAATTAATAAGATTAGTTTGGCATGATCTCCCTGAAGTAAGTCCATGCTGTCTCTGATCTTGAAATCCATGTGATTTAAAATGTTCAACAATTCTATCCTTTAACATAGTTTCAATTACTTTCCCCACTACTGAAGTAAGGCTTACTGGCCTATAGTTGCCCGACTTCTCCCTACTAACTTTCTTCTGAATGGGCACAACATTCGCTAACTTCCAATCTTCTGGGGCTACTCCTGTTAACAATGATTGGTTAAATAAACCTGTTAATGGTTTTGCTAGTACACCACTAAGCTCTTTTAATAACTTTAGGTGTATTCCATCAGGTCCCATTGACTTATTTGTCTTTACTTTTGACAGTTGAAATAGAACCTCTTCCTCTGTAAACTCACATGTAACAAATTACTCATTTGTCCTTTTTCCTAACTGAGGCCCCTTTCCTACATTTTCATCTGTAAATACCGAACAAAAATATTCATTGAGGCAATCAGCTAGACCTTTATCCTCTTCTACATACCTTCCATCTTTTGTTTTTAATCTAACTAATCCATGTTTTACTTTCCTTTTCTCATTTATGTATCTAAAAAATGTTTTTACTGACTGTGCTATTTTCTCTTCTGTGTGTGATTTGGAAGCTCTTATAACTTGCTTAGCCTCTTTCTGCCTATTCTTATAGATCATTCTGTCTTCCTCACTCTGGTTTCTTTCTAATGGTTACTAAATGCTAACTTTTTGTTTATTACTATTTTGGTCACATATGCGGAGTACCACTGTGGATTCTTGAATTTTTTGCTTTTACTGACAAGCCTAATGCAATTTTTTGTTGCCTTCAGCAGTGCTTTTAAATAATCCCATTTCTCTTGGACTCCATTTAAATTGCTCCAGTCAGTTACACAGATATACATACAGACACACACACACAGATATACATACTGACAACATAGAGATACACACTGACAGACATACTGACACACTGATATAGTAACACACACTGACAGACATACTGATACACACATAGACTCACACACACACAGACACCCTGACATATATACTCACACACATAATAAGACACACTCAGACATACTGACACACACATACTGACACACACACACACACATACATACTGACACATATGCAAAGTTTAAATTTTATCCACTGGCAGACATACTGACACACTGACATACTGACACACACACTGACAAATGGAGATGCACACTGACAGACAAACTAACATGTACAAACATGGCCTTCTGTCATTCTGTCAAGGGAATCTGCCGTCCCAGTTCCTTTTCCCATTGAGTCATATAAGGCAGTTTCTCTATAGATACACGTTTGAGAAGGTAGTTACAGCACATGGATAGAGACTTGATTGGTTTGGGTGACAGTATTTGGGTCGGCGCCAGTTGAGTCTCTTTGGGGTGACCTGACATGGTATGTAATTTCATTTGTAAGATATATTTTACCCTCATGTATTAATACAGTTCTCTTACCGGTAGTGAGAAGTCTACTTGGAGGTCAGAGAATTGCCTTATCTCATTGCCCACCAGCAGGTCACCAATTTGATGGATGCCCCTGTCTTTCCCTCGTACCACTGGCAAATCAGGGGAGAAGGCTGTTAGAGAAGGCTGTTAGCATCCCTAGAGGCACTGATCTAAAGAGTTGTGCGGTGTCTATGATGAGTGGACTCCAAAGTTGCCAGGAGTGCAATAGCAACCTTGAGCTCTGCAGCAAGTGTGCTTCAGGTGACTAGGGAATCATATTCGCCCACAGGGAATATGGGATGTTGTGAGGGTCTAGGCATGCGTTTTCTAGGGATAGCCACAGTGGGTACTGAGATTGGTGGGACAATCTAAGAATTCAGAGCCCTTGTGCTAGATTAGAGGCTCTGTGGTAGGTCTTCATGTCTGGCAAACCCAGACTCCACTTGGTGTATGGGAGCCCCGGATTGCAATGAGCCACTCGAGGTGGCTTCCGCTTCAAAACATGCACATTAATTTGTGGACTGGAAGAGTTTTATCAGTTTATTTGGCAACGAGATGGGCAGTGTTCTAAAGAGGTAAAGAATGTGTGTCATCACTATCATTTTTATGGAATTGATGCAGCCCAGCCATGACACCTCCAAGCCTGCCCATTTTTCCAGTGATGATTAAAGTTTCTGCATGACCGGGTAGTGGTTCTCTTTCGGGATATTGTGAAGGAACTTGGTTAATTGTATTCCTAGGTATGAGAGGAATGACTTGAGCCTGTTAAAAGCATTTTGTCAAAAGTCAAAAGCTGTACATTGGCTTCATGTAAGAGATAGGGTTCAATTTAAAATTCTGGTTCTTGCTTTCAAATCTCTACATAATGCTGCTCCCACCTATCTCCCTAATACATGTCACGTATGCATCCGCACATAAAAATGTGGTTAATGGTATTTACTGTCTTGACAGGAAAAGTTGTGCCAAGAAACATTACTGTCCTGACAGGAAAAGTTGTGCCGAGCTATATTACTGTCCTGACAGGAAAAGTTGTGCCGAGTAACATTACTGTCCTTACAGGCAAAGTTGTGCCGAGCAATATTACTGTCCTGACATGAAAAGTTGTGCCGACCAACATTACTGTCCTGACAGGAAAAGTTGTGCCAAGCAGCAATCAAATTCACAGGAGGGTTTGTGCTGAGCAGCAATCATGCAAATAGAAACCTGGTAATTGCCTTTGGGGTCGAAAGGCCGGTTACAGCCAATCAGATCCACAGGAGGGGTATTTAGGCCCAGTTCTCCTCTTGCTCACTGCCCTGTCGTGGTTTCATGTATATGGTTATCTGAGAGTGCATTCCTGATCTTGATTTTCTGGTATTTGACTTTGGCTTTGTTTTGACTTCCCTGATATCTGGTATCCTTGACTTTTGGTTTTCCCTCATCTTTGTGTCTGATTCTGTGTCCCTGACCTCGACTAGTATTTTGACTATTCTTGGAGACGTTAAGATATACAAGTCTTGTGTTGACATTCTAGTACTGCAGTCAGTGTTTCCACCGATCAGAATTGCATTCACATTCAGTGTTACAGCAATCTAAGACATTTTGGCTTGTAAAATGCACAGTGTCAGACCTATCCTAAAGTCTTCTCTTCCCCTTTATCTTAACCTTGTATACGCCTGTTTGGTCTTACATGTACCAGCAGGGTGTGGGGAAGTGGGGGGGAGGGAAGTAAACTATATACATATGGGCATTGTGAACAGTAGTTGAGGCTTATATGTAGTGTTACTGTGTCTCAGGGCATCCACAACCTCCCAGTTTTGCAAGAGCTTGACATTATTCTTATTTCTAGTTCTCCATCCCTCGTCTCCATCTTCAGTCTCCTGTTCTCTTACTGTGTGCCAGTATGATTCCCATATTTGTCCAGCCTCTACTGTTGCCCCTGTCCTACCAAACTGTATAGCTGTCATGAGTTCGTATTTCCAATTTGTCTGGATTTGTTGCCTTAGACTGTGCTTTGTAGGGGCAGACGTGGATTTCCATGCTCTGGCTATCAGGGTGCAAGCCGCTATCAGTGTGTGGAATAGCAGTCTAGCATGGACTTTTGCTATGTTTTCTGGACATATGTACAGGAGGCACATTTCGGGTGTTAGCTCCATTGGCATGGGTAGGAGGTGGGTGAGGATGTCGCTCACCATGGCCCAGTAGGGCCGGATGAGTTTACATGTCCACCATATGTGGTAAAACAAACTCGTTTCATTGTGGCACCGCCAGCATTGTGTGGTTGTACCAGGGAATATGTGTGCCAGTGTCATTGGTACTAGGTACCACCTATATTGTAGTTTTCGTATTTGTTCAAGGTGGGATATGCAAGTCGAGTTTCCTTTGTGTATCATATATGCTCTGTTCCATTGGTTGTCCGTAAAGGTACGGCCTAGTTTCTCATGCCACATTTGGATGTATTTTTCAATGTGGGTTAACGTGTTTTCTAATAGTATTGCACAGATCATTGAAAAAAATTTTTGTGCGGTGTTCCCTGGAGGCACCACGAGTCAAATTTGGATAGGGTGGGCGCCCTGAGGCAGTTTGTGGTTCATTGCAGTAATGACTTGAGTTGGAGATAGGAAACAATTGCTCTGCCTTGGAGATTTAACTGAGCTTGCAGGTCTGGGAATGTTTTCAGTACAGTCTCTGCATATAGGTTGTGTACATGTGTACAGCCGGATTGCGTCCATGTTTTATAATCAAAGGTCTGGTTTCTTAAGTATATGCTATATAGTGGCGTGGCTAATGACGTGGTCCAAGGGCCACTGAGGTGTTCTCGGTATTTGTCCCATGTGTTTAGCAGCAGTGTAGTTGTTGCTAAGATGTGTGGCATTGTTGGCCTCTGTGTCTTAGGTATTCAGAAGAGATAGTGTAATCCTGCCCTGCACGACCAATGGGATTCGATGGCTACCCATTGTGGAGTTGCTCAGTGTATGTGTGTGCTTGCCACCGTGGAGAGGAGTGCAGCTCTGTAGTACAGTTTTATATCCGGGATACTCATCCCCCCTCTCGCAACAGGTTTTTTAAGTGTAGTCAGTGCGATCATGGGTCTTTTCTTCATCCAGATAAACCTCGTAATGGATTTTTGCAGTGCTGTTAAGTAATGTTTGTATAGTGGGATCTGGAGCGTGCGAAGCAGGTATTGTAGTTTTGGGAGCAGCGTCATTTTAAACGCCGCCGCTCTCACGTACCAGAACAAAAAATCCCCACTCCAGGATTGGAGCGTTTGTATTATTTCTTGGTATAATTTCTCATAGTTATATTTGTGAAGGAGATGTGTCGTTTTAGCTAGTCTAATCCCAAGAAAGGTGATGTAGTCGTCCCTCCAGTCAAAGTTAAAGGATGACTTCAGGTTTTGTAGGGTGTGCCCGGGGAGGTCAATCCTCATTGCTTGTGTTTTGTTTAGATTGAGTTTGTAGTAGTAGACTGCATTGTAGTGTTGTATGCATTGTAATAGGTTTGGAAGTGAGATGTGTGACTGTATCAAGGTCAGTAGAATGTCGTCTGCAAAGAGGTTCAATGTATAGGTTTTGTCGCCCGCCTGTATCCCGTGTATGCAGGTGTTCGACCTGATCATTGAAGCCAAGGGTTCCAGCACCATCACATATAGCAGGGGCGATAGGGGGCACCCCTGTCGGGTTCCGTTGGTGATTCAGAATTTTTGGGACACAATCTCAGAGTTTAGAACTCACGCCATAGGGGTGGAGTACAGGGCTCTAACCACTGAGATGAAGCTCCCAGGCAGCCCAAATGTATAGAGTACCACCTCCAGGAACCCACAACCCAGCTGGTCAAAGGCCTTTTCTGCATCCAGGGAGAGCAGTAGTCCTCCCCTTCTGGCTGCCTTAAGACTCTGTATCACGTTGAGGACCTTCCTGGTGTTATCTGCCCCTTGTCATCCAGTCTCAAATCCCACTTGGTCGTCGTGTATTATGTGGGGGAGTATGGACCAGCAATTTGGTCAGGTATCCCCACCGATATGCGATATTGTTGCTTATAAGTGTGTCAGTGACGGTGCTGAAGGTTTTCCGTTTCTTAAGCGTCATGGCAGAGATATCTGCAAAAACTTTAACTTTCAGGTATTCGGACGGTAGCTCTTTTTGTCTGCGTCTCGCTTTAAGGATTGCCTCCTTGGAGTGGTAATAATGCATTTTGAGGACAATGTCCCTAGGGGTGTCAGGCGGCAGGTATTGTGGTTTAGCCACCCTATGTATTCTGTCCATTAGTAGGGCATCTTGGGGTAAGTCCGGGACCAAATGTGGGAAGAGTCCTGTTGCATATGCCAGCAGGTCTTGCGGGCCTTCAGCTTCGGGCACATTTCTAAGGCAGAGGTTGCTGCGGCGGGCCCGGTCTTGTAGCTTGGATGCCATGCTGTCAAACATAACTTGCAGGCTCTCCGTTGTGAGTATGAGGCCTGTTGGGTCTGGGTTTCCCACCTGTTCGCCATCTGTATCGGCGCCATCTTTGGAGTCTTTCCGTTGTAGCGTACCTCTTGTCTGCCCCTGTTTGGTGCCAAAAAAATATAGTTTGTCCTGTTTTTCGTTGGTCTGTTTGCCTTTGTGGTGAGACATGGTCAGGTAGGTTGTTTATTGTCATTTTCCTGAGATATTTTGGTCATAAAAGCTGTGTGAGGGCTTCGTTTGCACGGAGCTAGCTGAGCATGCGACAGCTCGCGTTTAGTTCCAGGCCACGCCCCTGGTTTTTAATGATTTTTTGAGGGAGTGGAGACTTGGAGAGCATCTAACGGAGGAGGGAAGTGAGTTCTACAGGAATGGTGCAGCCCTCTAAAAGTCTTGAAGGCAAGCATCAGAGGTGGGAGTACGGACAGAAGATAGATGTAAGTCTTCAGCAGAGCGTAAGGGCCTAGATGGGACATACTTGTGTATTAGAGAGGATAGATAGGTGGGAGCAGCATTATGTAGTGATTTGAAAGCAAGAATCAGACTTTTAAATTGAGCCCTATATCTTACAGGGAGCCAATGTAGGAACTCACAGAAGGGTGAGGCGTGGGAGGTGTGGGTGAACAGGAAGATGAGCCTCGCTGCCACATTCAGTATGGACTGTAACAGCGCAAGTTGGGAGCACGTAAGACCACTGAGAAGTGGATTACAGTAGTCAAGGTGAGAAAGCATAGTGGAATGGGCCAGCACATTTGTTGCATCTGGTGTTAAATAGGGTCAGATGTGTGCAATGTTTTTGAGATGGAAGCGGCAGGATTTGGCGATAGACTGAACATGAGGCATGAAGGAGAGGAAGGAAGTAAGTGTTGGCCCACTCTATCAAATTAAAAAAGTGCCTAGTGTTGTCCCCCACATGCCTCCCCGGTACAAACCCCACCTGTTCTTCAGTAATTAGTGTGGGGAAGAGGGTTTTAAGCTGTGTTCCAATCAATTTGGCATAGAGCTTGGTGTCTATGTTAAGCAGGGATAATGGGCGTAAATTGGTGCAAAGCGTGCGTGGGTTTGTTGGGTTTGGGCAGAGTCACAATGTATGCTTCCAGCATTTCTTTAGGCATTTTACCTGACTGTTTTATGTCATTGAAAAAGATTGTGAGGTGAGAGGTCAGTTGTGGTGCTAGTTTTAAGTAGTAGTAGTAGTTGGAAAGCCCATTCGGTCCAGGTGACTTGTGTTTAGGGAGGGATTTTATTGCCACTGCTATTTCCTCTTCATTGAAAGTGTTTTCTAGGAGCGAACACTGGTCCCGGGACAAGTGATGGAGATGTGCTTGATCCAGGAAGAAGGCTATCGTCTCACTAGTTGGGTGATGTGTCTATGGATCATTTCTCAACTGGTACAGAGAGGCATAGTACCCCACCAGTTCATTAACTATGTCCTGGGGGTTATACAGTTTGTCCCCCTGCTTAGATGTTATGTAGGGTATTTTGGACTGTAGGTGCTTTTGTTTTAGTTTTTTCTCGCTAAGAGTTTACCCGCTTTTTTTCCCAATGTGCCGTGGGATTGTTTTGGATATCGCAGCTGTTTTTCAGTGGTCTGTAGTTTTAGGTAGTTAAGGTCAGTCCTAAGTGCCATCAGTTGTTTGTGAGTTTGCTTGGAAGGATTAGATTATTGTGTGGCCTCTAAAGTAGAGATATCCTGTGCTAGTATACTTTGTTCTGTGGACTGTGCTTTCTGTGACAGAGAGCTGATCTGTATAAGGTTTCTCCTCATTACAGCCTTATGGGCTATCCATTGGGTGGCAATTGAGGTTTGAACAGTGTGCGTGTTTTTCAAAGTATGTGGTTACTAACGTTTTAAGTTTGAGGAGGTGCTCTGGGACATCCTGGAGGACTTCATTGAAGTGCCAATCATTGAGGCACCAAGCCCCTATCCCTGGCTGGGTGGGAGAATTTCATGGTTATCAGGAGTGGGGCATGGTCTGACCATGTAATGGGCCTGATATGCATGCTAGTTGCATGTGGCAGTGTACTTTTATCAAAGAGTCATGTACCGGTGAATAGAATGTATAGTCCCTCGTCTGAGGATAAAGATTACTCCAGACGTCATAGTAGTTGTGTTCATGTAGTAGAGTGGTGAGATGATGACTAAGGGATACTAAAGGAGGTTTTGGCAGTTCGCTATGGGCTCTCTGAATATCCAATAGTGGGCCTAGGGTGCAATTAATGTCCCCACATATGATCGTGTGTCCTACCTTGTACTGTTCTATTTTGCTGAAGGACATACTCAAAAAGGACTTCTGTGTATCATGAGGTACATACAGGGAGACTACAGTTATCTGTAGTCCACTAAGGGATCCCGCTAATATCAGCAGCCTGCCATCATGGCTAATATATTGTTTAGAGGGAGAAAATACCCAGTCACTGTGGAAGTATATAGAGACACCCTTCAATTTAGTGCGCGACATGGCATGATAGGTTTGGGCATACTGTCTGACATTAAACTTAGGGGTTGCGGACACAGAAGTGCATCTCCTGCAAGCATACAATTGCAGCCCTTGTTTCGGTTATTTCTTGAGCCATTAGTCTGCGTTTGTGAGGGCTATTAAGGCCTTTGACATTCAGGGATAAGAGTTTTAGGGAATCAGCCATTGTCTCAGATCAGAGATATTCTGAATCTGTTGGTAATGTGAGTAGCATGGTAAGAACCCAGGGGAGCAGGGAAACATAAATAACACCTTATTGAAAAAC